TGCTGCCCATACAAACACAAATTAGCCGTACTATAAGCATTAACATCAAAAACAGCAGTTTCCATGTTCTTTAGTCCCTCAAAACCCATATTAGGCGCATTATGAGCATTAACATCGAAAGCAACTCAACAATCCAGCTCTGCGACTACATGCTCCCTACAATATGTCTTCATAACATTCGTAGAGCTACTCCTCTGACAAATTGAAGCATGCTCTGCTACCCCATCACGAACTGTCTGGGAACCAACTCCAACATCCCATTAGTTTGCTGTCAGGGGGATCTAGATGGGTATGTCGCTAGTGGGTAGTGGGTGTGGGGATGGATTTGAAAATGTACCCGCGTGGGCGGGTGTGGATTTGAAAATTTGTACCCATTATGAGTGGTGGGCGGATGGTGGATTGAAAAATATTAGGTGGGTATGGGGATGGGGGAGGGGTATCCGCATCCGACCCGCCCGTTTGCCATCCCTAAGTACAGGGGTGCTAATCCCTCCCTGACTGTAATCTACTCTCCAATCCGATCCAATTCAAAGCAGATCAGATAAAATGGTAAATGTATCCGATCAACCTAATTTTAAATTATCGGTGACGGCTCCATCATATCAAATTTAAGTTAGAATCCGATTTCAGACCTACCCGAAGGACGGTTACACAACTCGTACGAATTATTATTATTATGTCTGATTTGAATCAATTATATACATCAATCTATCGATCTCTTAAATTTGATTTTAATCGAATATGTGTTAGAGATAGAATAAGTAAAATAAATTTAGATTATTAAAAAAATGAAGTTTTGGAAATCGGGAAAAATTCATCTCTTTAAAACTCCAAACACATTAGAAATATCAGATATAATTATTTGTAACATGAATTTATCTTTTTGCCTTTTTAGATGAAACGGCAAATTGGGAAAAGATAACATATTTGGGTATTGCTTCATGCACTGTTTTAGCCATTTACAATCTATCAAAAGGTCATCCCACCATGAAGAGCCTCCTGTAAACTTATGGTTACTCGGTTTAATTTATTTATATGTATTTAATTTTAAAAAATTATTGTTATTTGTTTTGATTCTTGGATTTGTTATGATGCGTGAATGTTTGCAGGCGTACCCATATTTGCACATTCGCAACAAGGAGTTCCCATGGGGTATGTTATTCTTATTGTTGCCAGTTTCAATTTCTTTTGATTCAATTTGAATGTTTTTTTTGTATTTAGATTTTATTTTTCAGGCTCTATTAGGTCTTTCCATGGAAATTATAGCTGATAACATAGCTGTGTTTTCTTTTCCTTTTATGCCAATTGCTTAGAAATCAACGAATGTAAGGAATACTAGACAATTTTAGATAAGATGGGTTCTGTTCGGAACCAGAAAAAAAAATACACTTATATTGACGTTGATTATTTGTAGTAAATCCTATATATTTTGTTCAAAATAATTGCTCTTTTAAGCATCCAAAACGCTATCTTAATTCTTAGATAATTTATATGGAGCCTTAAAAGTTGCCAGCTCATTGTGATATTTTTCACGTATAATAATATGGAAATACATGCCATCTGCCAACCAATCTTGGTTAGCCAATTATCCCTTTTTTTTTTTACTCAGTTTAATTACTGATAAGTACTAGTTTTCCATTATCTGTCCACTAAAAATGTATTTTTTTCTCTGATTCTTCTTCTCGCTCGCTCACTCACTGTCTTATGTTATATCCGATGTGAAGTAGAAATGGTGTTATACGTCGAATACTTCCCCCTGTTTATGTTAGATTATATTTTACAAACTATTACACTAGTTTTTGTCCTACACCGAATTCTACTTGAAATTCCCTTTCAGCCTATCTTACATTTGTTTGCCATGTTGTCTCTTCATGCCTAATAATTCCTTGATAAATTGCCAAGCGTTAGATTCAGCATAAGATGTGGTCTAAAACTAATTTCATTCAATCATTGTACAGGAACTTCTTTGAATTTAGCTGGTCTATATTTTTTTTATCTTGTCAGCTAAGTACCAACCTAGGGATCTATTAATCAAGTTTATGCTTGTGTTCCTGTTCCGTTGTGTATTTTTTTTTGTACAAAAACTAAATGTAAATTTCTTTTTCCATTTTTTCAAGCTAATAGAAATTTTAATTACTTTTTCTTGCTGTTGGAGAGTTTCACAATGATATTGCATATGAACTGTAAAAGATACTATGCAATTCTTATTCACAGAGTAATATTCCAAGTGCATTGCTATTTGGAGAGTTTTTGGCCCTGTCGATGTCATTAGTTAGCATAGTTGGTTCGATTCTCCTTGACTAAGTAAGCATTGCTTGTTTTGAATGATAAACCTATTTGGTATAATATTGCAAGTGGATGAAATAAGTTTTTTGTTCTGGTTTTGTGTTTTCGTGTGTGTGTAGGTTGATTCAATATATTTATCTTTGTATTCAGGACCAGATGGCCTGTTTGAGGTGAAGAAGCACCACTAGGGCAACCGATGGCCTAATTGACTCGTATCTTTCCGAGTTCCACACATTCTTGTGATTTGTCAGAGAAATCAATCAGAACACTGTGGATCTTTGCATGTAATTTTATTATTAATATATTTATATTCATTGCAGTTTTAGCTGTTAATTACTTTAGTAACGATATGAGTGTTAAAACACTAGTAATTGGAAGAGGGGGATTTTGGAATATTTTTGACGGATCAGTTCACACCTTTGTTGTGGAAGAGATGAAGTGTTTTTTAGGGTATAATGTGAGATGGGAGGTCTCTTCCATCAAATCATCATCATTCTTTTACTACTCCCATCTAATTAGCATGGAGTTACACTTCAACCAATCTACCCTTTGTTAGGATACTCTAGGTGAAATTTAGACTTAATTTAAATACTACCAAGACTTATCGTTATTTTCATTTATATCCTCCAACTAAGCTGGGTATTCATTGCAAAGGAATAATCATGTCAAGCAAGTCCCTTCCAAACCTTGAAGGATTTGCGTATCCAGCAAGATAATCAACCTTAAATTTTATACAGTTTTCTTTTAGGTTCAATCTTAAAATATAGTACAGAGCATTCTCTCATAAAACTAAAAATTATAAGCAAATATTTATAACACTTAAAACTCTAAAATAATATATATATCATATCATTTATAATTTTTATTTTTTCTTTCGATTTTTTCTTTTCAGATTAAACCAAAACAAAATTTAAATTACAATCTATGACACATGTCAAGAAGCCAAATTTTCATCAGTTTCTATAATGCTATGTGTACCGTTATCCTTCAAAACATTATGCCGCTCTTGTTATGGGGTTTACTTGTTTATGGTGAAGGGAATTTTATACAGAGGGTGCCTTTGGAAATTCATATTTGGCAGATAATCATGAAATAAAACTTCTTTTTTGTTTAATAAAAATAATTTCGATAGAGCCAATTGTCAAATTTGTATATGTAATCTAAAATTATAATAGAATTTGACTTAATTATCTATTGAAATTTGAGTTAATATGTAACAATCTGCTCATTGTCACAAATTTTATCTGAACATTGACCTTCAAATCTTCACTAACGTAAGCCATATATCTCTAAGTCTTTAACCATTTCAATTCTTACTAAAATTAAATATCCGTTGAAGCAAAATTTACTTTACATGTCTTCAATATCACTAAAAGAACTTGTAACAACAAATTACTCTAAAATTCCACAATTTTAAGCGTAACTCTAATAAACTTAATAAAAATTTGTAAACATAAAAATAATCAAAATGAAATTAATATAAAATACATTACATACAAGAAGTAAATTTAATATGTCTAAATCTTATTTACTTCCACAGATAATAAAAAACAATCAACTATAAATATAAAGATAATAAATAATTCTAATACATGAAACTTCGTATATCTCACACATTTAATATATTTTACGAACCCAATATATTATCAAACTCTTCTTATTCCTACAAAACTCATATCTTAACTATACATCCAATAAAGATTATATTTGTATAATAATTCTCATTATTTCTAAAGATTAAAAGTTTTATATTTATGAAAAAATATATATTTAGTAACTGAGGATCATTACTCTAAAAGAACCTTTACTTAAATAAGTCTAATTATTTCTCTTTTTTAAAAAAAAAAATAATATGGGGTAAGTACAATGTAATATCTGTTTAAAATTGAACACTCACACTCTTGGGCATCTATGGTATTCGAACCTGGGTCCTCAGAAATAACAATAATTCCTTTACCACGGAGGTCACTTAGTTCGTGCAAATAAATTTAAATAAGTTTTTACTATTAAAATTATAATAAAATTCATTCAATTTAAATTTTAATTATTTTTAATAATCTGGTGATTATATAATACTATCAATCTAAAATCTTTTTTAATGATAGATAACACAAATATATTCCGTTGGAACTAACATCCTCTAAAAATAACAACATTCAAGTTTAAAATAAAATATAATGCCGATAGTAAATTAAAAATATATCTGACAAAGAGGGGTGATGAATTGTCAAGTCATTTCGAAAATATATGGCAAAGAGGGGGTTAGGATGTCAAAAGAATAAGGTGGAGGGTTGAGTTTTCAAAAGAAAATTGGGTGTTATGGAACCATCTTCGCCAACCCCACTGGTCCTAATGCTCTGCAAATTCATGGATTCCGCTAAAAAGAAAAAAAAATCTGGCGATTCTATGTCATTTTGATGGTTTAAAAACCAACTTTGACCCATTTGCATAAAAAACTTGAATCTAACCTACAACTTACATATTTTCCGGAAGCAACACCATTCAAAGCAGTATATGTGACTTACGAAAACTTGGAACTTCAATTATTATAAATAGATATCTACAAGTAAAAAAACAATATTTTCAGCACTAATATCACAATAAACCACAAGTAGCTAAGACACATACAATGTCCTGATCCCACCTCTGGAAGAAGAAAACAAAAATTTAGTGACAGTAACGAGTCATATAGTGGACCACAAACCATTACGATTTCATTCTACAGCTGCATTCCCACTGTTATTTCCCTCATTCGAGGCATCTGGCAGAGTTCCCAAACCTGTTTGAGCTTCTTTCACTTCTAGAGTCGTTGAAGCATTGGAAGAACCATCGGGATTACTCTGGCTTGCATCTGTGTTTCCATTTGAATTTGAAGAATCCACTGATTTGTTTTGCACTGAATTTGCATCGTAATTAGAATTTCCATTGCTGTCATTGAAGCTCTGAATGCCATTGTTGTTATCATTCTGATTTGAGCTTTCATCGCTGTTGGTATGGCTCTGAACGGCATCCTTGTTCTCATATTGACTTGTATTTTCATTGTTGTTATTGGCGTCGTAGCTCTGAGAAGCATTATTCTCATTCTGGCCTACATTTTCATTGTTGTCAGTGTTGGTTTGAGTGACCTTGTTCTCGTTCTGACCTGCATTGTTATTGCTGTTGCTGTTGCTCTGAGTGGCCTTGTTCTCGTTATGACCTGCATTATCATTGCCATCAGTGTTGCTCTGAGTGGCCTTGTTCTCGTTCTGACCTGCATTGTCATTGCCGTCGGTGTAGCTCTGAGTGGTCTTATTCTCATTCTGACCTGCATTTTCATTGCTTTCGGTGTTGCTTTGAGTGGCCATGTTCTCATCCTGACCTGCATTGTCATTGCTTCCGGTGTTGCTTTGAGTGGCCTTGTTCTCATCCTGACCTTCATTGTCATTGCTTCCGGTGTTGCTCTGAGTGGCCTTGTTCTCGTTCTGACCTGCATTGTTATTGTTTTCGGTGTTGCTCTGAGCAGCGTTTTCATTCAAATTGTTGTCCTTTTGAGTAACATCTGCAGTTGCATTTTCATTATTGTCTGTGTTGCTCTGAGTGGCATTGTTCTCATTCTGAACTGCATTTTCATTGTTTTCGGTGTTGCTCTGAGCAGCATGTTCATTTTCATTCAAATTGTTGTCCTTTTGAGTAACATCTGAAGCTGCATTGTCTGTTGCATTGCTCTGATTGTCGGTGCTGCTGCCATTCCCATTTGCATTTCCATCATTGTTCATATTGCCACTATCGTTTCCATTCTGACCTGAAGCAGCATTATCATCAGTGTTTGAGGATGTTTCGCCATCTTTGTTCTCACTAGCATTTGAGTTCTCATTCGTGTTTAGCGACAGAATATTTTCTTGTGTCCCCTCTCCTCCAGAATTCTTGTTTGATTCTTCACTCTGAACAGCATTTGGATTGCTGTCTGATCTGGTCCATGCATTGGAGTTTTCAGTCTGTCCATTTGATTCAATAGATTCAGAGTTTCTTGCAGAGCTTGTGGAATCTCCATTTGTTCCATCCCCGTTCTCAGTTGAAGTTGGAGTTGCATTTGAGTCTGATTGCTCCCCGCTGCCACTTGAATCCGATTTCTCAGATTGCTCCCAACTGCTACTTGAATCCGATTTCTCAGATTGCTCCCCACCTGTTTGATTCTCATTTGATTCCATAGCTTTATCAGTTTGTGAATCTTCTTTTGACTCAGCCTCATTACTCCCATTACTGCTTTCTTGTTGGTTCTCAGTAGTCTCATTTTCTTGCACATTTGACTCATCACGATGAACATCGTCTGCTTCACTGCTATTTGTTTCGTCCTGATCTTTCTTATCTTTGTTTTCCAACTTCTCTGACACATCGGAATTTTACGAACCACTTGTCTCATTCTCAACTGCAACATTTTGGACAACATGGACTACTTCACTGGAAGCATCATCCGCCTTGTAATGTTCTTCTCTTGCTTCTTCATTGTTCTGGTCAACTCCATCCCGAACCCGGTCATCCGAGGCACCTGAATTCTCTATCTCACCTTCACTCTTTTCTGTCTCTTTCTCTTCGTGTGCCTCCTCATTCCCTTTGTTTTCAGTGTCCTCTTGGCTCCCACTATTTCCATTTTCTTTGCTCTCTTCACTATCCTCTTCCTTCCATCCATCCAATGAATCTTGTCGGCGCTCCGTTTCCTCCTCAGGTTTCTCGTTATCACCTTCGTTACATCCTCATTCTCTTTGCCTTCATCTTCAGTTACCTCAGGCTTGTTATCTTCTTCTCCATTCTTGCTTTCTTCCTCCTCATCGTCCTTGTGCCGTGCATCCGTAACAGCTATTCCTTCCTATCGAGGAAAGTCCTTTCTCCCCAACTTAACGACTTCATTCCCTGATGTCCATAAGCTGCTTTCTTCTCACCAGAGTGCTTAACTTGGTAAAGCAACCAGATGCAGATACCTAAAAGAACACATATCTGAAGAGCATGCTTTACCTTCAACCCTTTCGATCTTTGGTTCCTACTAGGCGAAACACGAAACATGACGAACTTCCTTTCCAATTAACCTACCGGAAAACACCAGAAAACATCGGAGTTCTTCAACGGATGTATAATCCCACATATTCGTATAATTCAACTTAGTAACACCACAATATAACAATTACATCCGTTGAAGAACTCCGATGTTGATAAATCCAACTTTTTTCTACTAATCAAGGTCAGAAATCACACAAAACAAGTTCAAAATGCATGCTATGATGGGATACGATAAAGAAGTTGCAACTCGAAAATTCCATCAATAAAGAAAAGAAAAATAGCAATTTTGTTCAAGTGGTAGTGGTGGGAAAGAAATAAAACGCAGGATCACAAGTGGAAATATAATCTGAAACAACTTGCATGTCAAAGCAAACCCATTTTAAACACTTGAAAATTAAAATGAGAAAGCTTTGATAGAGACTTACCCAGAATCCGAATGATCCCAAACAGAGCACACTTTACTTTCTCTTAGGGAATTCCGGGAACGGACGGCTTTCCAGGAATTTTAACAAGAAGAAAAGGAAATGAAGAAGTCTTTGACTTGAAGGACTAGAAATTTTGCGTGTCGGTGCAAAAATGAGATCGGATCTGGAAATGGAGAAACACAGGCTTCAACACCACATATGTATAATTGAGTGCTCCTAAAAAGTTTGTTTTACTGAAATCAAAATTCAGAAAGGAAGATCAATTTTAAAACCAACAAACAGAGGATTAAGGTTAGATCGGGAGTGTCGCACTCGTTTTTGTAATATCTAATTTGAATTAGTTGGTTAATAGATCGAATACTAGTAATTAATTAAAATATCAGTTTTAAATGTCCATATCTCTAGCATACTTTAATTTTTTTTATTTAAAACATTTTGAGTTGGATTTTCTCAGTTTATATCAAAATTAATAATTTATCGAAATATAAATTAAATATTTAAATTTTGCTTAAATAATTTATAGAAATTGTTATTTGATACATTGTTAGTATAAACAAAATAACTTTACAAATGGTGTTTGAAGGACATTATATGTCTTACTATTCATTTTTAAATTTTTAAAAAAAATATTTAATATCATCTAAATATTTTAATCAACAATTTTATATGTAGTTTTTCTAAATTATAAACAATCTTTGATAATCTCTCATTCATTCTCTATGTATTCATCCTCTTGAATATATATATATATATATATATATATATATAATTAATTAATTTGAATTAAGTATTATAAACAATTATTATTAAACAGTTTTTTTTCTAATTTAATTTATTTAGTTGTAATATTAATATTAGAAAATTGAATTTAAATTGATAAACTAATATTTCATTTTATTAAATAAACAAACAATTATTATATACATAAATGTTTGGGTAAATTATGTGTTTAATACATAAGCTATCAGTTTTGATTTGATTAAGTACTTAAATTTTTAATTTTTTGATTTGATTAAGTACTTAAATTTTTAATTTTTTTTTCAAAATCATATCTAACGTTTAGTTTTTATTTTATTTTAGTATTTGTCGTTAAAAAATTAACAGACGAATTGCCGCACATAGCTCTAGTGGAAGAACTATCAATCCGAACGGTGGATCACGAGATAATGACGAATCGACCAACATAGTCCAATTTCAAGCCTATCGAACGGTTGACGATGGAGATCGAAGGATGAAGAAGTCGAAGAGTCATTCATCAATTTGGAGATATTGAAGCAATTTTCAACGAAACGAAGACTAGAATTATATTCAGGGGGTCGAAAAGGGATAGACTCGAAAGTTTGGGCTTCATTGGCTTATGGATGTGGCAGACGATGACTATAGACGTAGCGGCCAGTCGACGAGCTCATTCGTTAAGTTTTTAACGACGAGTATTAAAATAAAATAAAAATTAAACATTTTAAAAAAATAAAAAAAAATAAATATGAAAATAAATTAAAAGTGATCATTTAAGTACTACACGCCTAATTTAAACTGGATGTTTTTTATAATTACATAAAAATATTAAGATGTGTGGTTTCATGTGTCAATTTGGAAAGCAGTGAACATCGAAAAGAGGCAAATTTTATTAAACATTAAAGTGAATAAAATTATTGAGTTGTTTCCATAAATGGCAGATAACAAGCCACATGTCAACACCCGTATCTTAAGATAGGTGATCGTTAATTCTATGATTCGGTTATGGTTCTTACATACATTACACCAAAATATGTAAAAGTTTAGATTTTTAATATTATATATTAGTTTGCATATGAAGGATTTATTATTGGAATATACTAAATTTTTAGCTTATGAGATTTTCAGAAATTATTTATAGACATGATATTCTTTTATATTTTATAGGCAAAAATGTAATTTTTGCTCTGGTAGTAGATTCAATTTATCACTTTCGCCTCTATCGTATTTTCGAATCAATTATATCCTCAAAATTATTCAATTGCATCATTCTATACTCTACCCCTAACTTAAAACCTTAAATTATAAACTCTAAACGCTAAATCATAACCTCTAAACAAAAACTCTAAGCCTAAAACCTAACTTAAGATTTATAATTTAGGATTTTAAGTTAGAATTAGGGTATAGAATGATACAATTAAACAAATTTAAGAGTTAAATTGATGCGAGAAATACGATAGAGACGAAAATGATAAATTAGATCTATTAGAGGTGGAAATGTTACCCTTAAGCCTATTTTATATTATGTAGAGTGAGTGTGTCTTGTTATAAATGTTATAAATATCTTTTAGAAAATATATTTTGTATGATGCGTTTATCCTTATATGGTACGACATGTTAGAATAGAAGAAAAATAATTTTACAAAATAAGTTTTTCTCAGATTTTATCATATATGATTTTTAATTTAAATCATCGGTTTAAAATTTTACGGTGAGGTGATTTTAGGGTTTCATCGTTAAATATTTTATTTGAGATTTAAGTTTTTATGTGTAATGATTTAAGAAAAATAATTATGAATATGTGGAAATCGATAGCAGAAATAAAAATTTAGGTTAAAGAAGAAGAATAGAGAAAGAACAAATTATGTAAATTCATTCATAAAAAATGACTATTCAGAGTACAGATACATTCTCTATATACCCTGTTATAACTATTACAAATTATTTATCGACAGTTGTCTTCTCTGTTGACAAGCTTAACAACATTCAACGATCTGTCTTGCTTGTCCTGTTGCTATGGCTATTATTAGCTCATTGAGTATGTTAGGCATTGCTTGACAGTGTTGGGCACTACTAGACTCACATAATAGCCTGATCCACATTGTTATTACTGAACTCTCGTTTTGTATAAACCTAATTCTCTTCCTCCTCCCTAGACAATCCATTATTCTACACCTTAATCTCCTATTCTCCCTTTTTCAATTGTGTGAACCTAAATTTTTGATTTTCTCAATCCCTATACTCTTCTTTCCATCATTCTCTTTCATGGTCATGAAAATGCCTCTTGCTACTGTTGAACTTTGTCCCCAAGGATTAAAATTCAACACAATATAGTTTTCCCATCTAGTTTTCCCAAGTAGTATTCTCAGCTTTTAAGTTTGTCCACTGAATCAAAAATTGAGTTACAGCTTGGTTGTTGCATTTCATGATTCGTTTGTCCAACACAATTGCAGGGTGTGTAATACCTCAAATATAGGGTCGGTGACCATAGTGAAAGGATTAAAAATCTGGTGGGTTAATTTGAATAAATTGAAACGTACAAGGATTGATTTAGGAAATTATGTTTAAGACTTATTTTTAAGAATGGAAGAATGGAGGGACAATTTGGTCTTTTAGAAGGAATGAATTTAATATTCATTTAAATTGGGTTATTTATTAAGAGTGAATAGGAGGAAAAGAGAAAAGCTGAAAAATTTGGTTCTCTTCTTCTTCTCGTCGGCCTCGTCCTCCCCATAGCAAAGGTAAGGTTTCATCAAGTTGGATTTTCCTTTTGTTTATGGGTTGGTTTTGAAACCTTAAGTGATATAGAAGCATAAGGGAAGCTTAAGAGTGGTTAAAACTAAGAGATTAGTGATTTATTAGAGATTTAATAAAATGAGTTTTTAAATGGTTTGATGAAATATGGTCAGTTATTGGAGTTTTAAAGCATATTTGACTTGCCAAAGAAGTAAATAAGAGATTTAAAGCCTTAGAAGTGGTTAAAAACATGTTTGAAAAGTTGGTGTGATTTTTAGTTTTGAGTGTTCTTTGGAGATTTTGGATGTTATAAGGAGATTTATGGATGTAAGTTAGTTGGGTTAAGTGATGATGAGTTTAATGGTATGGTTGTAGACAAAAGTAAGAGATTTAAGCAAAAAATTGGGTAAAAATCGAAGTAAAATAAGTAAAATATGGGTAAGGGTATCGGTACTGTAAGAATAATACTGATATTATAGGGTTAAATTTGAGGAAAAATGACGAACATGATGAACAATATTGATACTTATGCAATTAGTATTAGTACTAAAGTGGGGTATCGATATCAAGAGGAAGGTATCAATACTATTATTGAGAAATGAATTCCACAATGTAAAAATGGTATCGATATTGAAGGGAGTATCGGTACCATAGTATAGAAGTATCGATATCATAGAATGGGTACCGATACTAACCAACCTGTAATTTTAAGTTAGGATGAACTTTAATAGAATTTGAGAATAATAGTACTTTTGAATATTATTATTTTGTATAAATGTTAGAAAGTATATTAACATTTGTATTGTATGTGTAATTATGGATGCTTGTGTAGATTGTAATCAATCTCCCGAGTCAAGCAAACAGAGAGACAAGGACAAAGTTGTCAAATAGTCAGACATCAGTAAGTCATAATAGTGAGGCAGACCAGATGAGTGCATTTATTATGTACTTTGAGAGTTATAAGTGCATGTTGGTTAATACATATGTTGCATTTTTTTATGTATCGACACTAAGTGTGCAACCCACAGAATTCATAACAAGTTTATGAACGACCGTATTGACACTAAGTGTGCAACCCACATAATTCATAATAAGTCTATGAACAATCATATCGGGACTAAGTGTGCAACCCATGGAATTCATAATAAGTTTATGAACGACCGTATCGGCTCTAAGTGTGCAACCCACAAAGTTCATAATAAGTTTATGAATAACCATATCGGCATTAAGTGTGCAACCCACGAAATTCATAATAAGTTTATGAACGACCGTATCGGCACTAAATGTGCAACCCACGGAATTCATAATAAGTTTATGAACGACCGTATCGACACTAAGTGTGCAACCCACAGAATTCATAACAAGTTTATAAACGACCGTATCGACAATAAGTGTGCAACCCACAGAATTCATAATAAGTTTATGAACGATCGTATCGACACTAGGTGTGCAACCCACTGAATTCATAATGAGTTTATAAATGATCGTATCGGCACTACGTGTGCACCCTATAGAACTTATAATGAGTTGCAGTAAATAAATTCGTATTTTGATAACTATGATATACTTATGTATTAATTTCGCCTCGTTATTAGTATTATCTCACTAAGTAAATACTCAGCGTGTGTTGATTTCACGCGTAGGTTTTAGCGAGTGGAGTAAGGAGTGCATCTGACATCGCCAATCAAGGGTTGCCTCATCAGTAACTG